TCAGCATGGGAAAATCAAGTTTCTCAAATGGATAGTTTAAGCTCTGTCTGTCATCTGAAGGAAAATTCGACGCGCCCCTAATTCCTGGGCGAGAATCAGAGTGTACTGACATATTTAGAAACAAGTATAGATAACAAAAAGTGGGAATCAAATAGTATGTCCCATTTTTAAAGTACTTTCAGTTTCATGTAATAGCTTTTTCAACATTCAACTTAACGTCGGAAAAAAAAGGAAGACAGAACTAAAAAGACACCCACTCGAGTAAAGGGCGTTTTGCCAAGTAATGGCAGTTGGTCATTTGAACCCTTTAAAAAGAAGAAAAAAAATCCCATTGGCGTTTTTTTCTTGGTGATCTCTTCCTTCTCCTTCTATGTCAGTTCTGCTTTTATTCTTGACAAGTGTAGGAAATGTGAACTCTTCCGGAAAGCTAAGCCGTTAAAATCATTTCCAGCAGTTTCAATCGGAAACAAGTCAGGCCAATTTCAACATGTTTCCTGTCACTTGTTAACGACCAAAAATTGGTTCTACTTACCCCGACACCAACATCAATGGAGGCCAAAATAAAAGCCAAAATCTTTTGGTCAACAAAGACAACGTTTTTCTGTTTCAATGCATTAAAGTTTTTCTGATGTCCATGTTATCTCTTCCTTAAATATTTTAGATTTTGTTAAAATTTTGGAGATTTTTTCTTTTTCTTTAAATATACAAATTTTGTCTCTTTTTTTTCGGAAGGAGTTTTAAGTGTCTCTAAGAAATGAAGAAGATTAATATATGAGAAGAGAAAAAAGAGCAGAGAGATTGAACTAAGGAGAATCTGCGTGTGTGTACGTGTGTGTGTGTGTAAGAAAGAGAGAGAGAGAGAGAGAAAGAGAGAGAGAGAGGGAAAGTGTGTAAGCGGAATAAAATGGGAGACAAAGAGAAATTGTGTGTGTTCGTTAGAAAAAGTGTATCAGAGTGATTGCGTGCGACTATGATCGAGGGAAAGAGTGAGAGACAGAACATGTGTATGTGCGCGCGTGTGTGTGTGTGTTCACATTAGAGAGAGAAAAATAGAGGGTCTGTGTGTGTTAACATGAAGGAGAGATAAAATATGAGAACAATGTATGTATTTTAAAAGAGAGAGAATTGATAGATAGAAAAATGTAATAGAAAGAGAAGGAAAGTGAAAGTACAGGATTTGAGGACTTCACAAACAGTAAAAGTCCACAATAAAAGAAGCTTCATGTAAATGACAGGAAGAAATGGAAGAATTTTGGATAACATTCAGGAAAAAGTGACGCGGTATCGATAATAACTTTTGAAGAAGCGAAAAAATTGCAACTTGAGAAAAAATACTCTATTGGTGATCGTTAAAAAATTGAGAGAATTTTTGGTCGAGGCTTTTCAGATTAATTTTCAAAATAAAAACAATGATGATGATGATGATGGTGGGGGTGGTAGTAAGAGTTCATTGTAGTAGCAGTATATGTACAAATAAAAACACTGTATAATTCTATAAGGTAATGTGACCTCGTTAACTAAACGTTTTTCTCACGACAAGATTAAATGCAAGTAAAGGAGAAAAGCATTAAGCAAAGTGAATTGGGCGAGTTGTCAGCGCAGGTGGCATTTCCTGTTCATGTCCACCAAAGAAGACGGTATTAAAATGAAAACATCATCCAACCCGATTGGAAGAGTGATGGAGTGGGTGGGAGTAAAGTAAATGTGTGCAAAGAGGTTTTTATTTTAATCTTTGAAAGCAGAAAGAAAAAGTTGGCCAACAGATATCCAATCAACGTGTGTATTTAGTAAGGTGGGAGAGAAGTACCTGAAACCAATGGAAGGAAAGAAACGCCAATATAGATGCAAGAGATGCAAAAGATATTATGAACCAATTTCCTAACGTTACAAACATTACATAAAAGGTCAAAATAATATTTTTCTTAAAGAACAGAAAAAAGCTATTGTCTAAAATTCTCTTTAAAATTTATTTAAAAATGTAAAAAAAAGCTGCAAATGAAGTGGGTTTAATTTATAAGAATTTTTTTTACAAGTGAAGGTGGATTTCATAAAAATATTAAAAGCATGAAAATAATACACATAAATTTGCAAATGTTAGACATTCAACGCTGCGTTCAGCACGATTTACAATTGGAAATTTTCTGAGCGATTCCCTCTGGATTTTGCCCGAGTCGCTTGTCGTTTAAAATTTCATTAAAATGACTGGAATATAAGTAGAAATTGATAAACTTTATCAATTTGAGGAAAGAAAGGAAAATAAATAAGCGAAAAAAAAAAGAAAAAAAGAAAAAGAAAGAAAAAGAAAAAAAGAAAGAAAAAGAAAAAAAGAAAGAAAAAGAAAAAAACTCTATTGTTTTTCGATAAATCAAGTTTTAATTTAGTTTTAATTTCCCAATTTCACTAAACTTTACTGCCAACACACTTATACTCCGGGACACACTTACAAATATACTGATCTCTCTCTCTCTCTCTCTCTCTCTATGTACACACACGCGCGCACACACATGCACACATATATATATGCATACTGTTTTCATACATCCATACACACATTCATACCCATAATAATGCACACAAAGGTAAGATTCAGGAAGAGCATACATATGAACGGAGAAGTATTGTTTAAATTATTTCATCTTTATTCACTTGTCAGTTTCCGATTGCAATATTTTTTTCATAAATTCCTAAAGAGACGAGATTTCTACTGTCCAAGGCAAATATCAAATTCAAATTTGTTCCTAATTGAAAGAGTTGCGCAAGTAAAAAGCAAATCTCAGTCAAGAAATGCAAATGTGAAATGCATTCGAAGAAGAGGTGCGTTGTCTGCATCTGTTTTTCAAGCAACAACCGATTGGGATTTCCAGCCGAAGTTGCTAATATACATTTCCCGAAAAGCTGCACAATTCGGTGTTGGTGAAGTCATGGGTTCGATTTCTTCTGATCGCAAAAATTTACTAAGCTTGCAAGATCATCACGAACCAAAGCCATTTCAAATTGAGGCCAATCTTAGCTGTAATTCATATATAAAGTATACATTATATATATATATATATATATATATATATATATATATATATATGTGTGTGTGTGTGTGTGTGTGTGTGTGTGTGTTGTTTGAATACTAGCAGGAGAATTTACTTGAGTTTCGCGTGTTGAGAACATCTGGAATTTAAGTGAGCGTCTTTCTATTGTTTTATAAATATTTCAAAACCCCATTACCACTGTTGAATAAGGTGAGGTTGATAGTTGAACCGAGATGGATAAATTGTCGTTTAAAAGAAGCAAAAATGAAAATAGAACTGATATCTAATTTGATATATTTACTTAAATTGTACAAAAATATCTTGAAATAAGAAAGAGTAAATTTAGTCATTATCAAGGACGATTTTGACTTTTAACTCAAATTTTAATGTACTGGACGTATTTGGAAAATAAAACACACATTCAGTAAAAAATAAAAATAAAAATTATCCTTGACAATGGATAAAAGATTAGCCGAAAGCGCTCGAATATGCAGAACGTTTGGACAATTTTAACACACTTTGCGTCCAGAAAAGAAAACATTTGTATGAACACAAGAAAATTATATGAAAAGGTTAGTCGTAGTAACTTGTTAGTCGTCTTTAACGAAACTTGTGTAAAGGAGGTATTGCTGCAAATAGACAATATATATATATATATATATATATATATATATATATATATATTGCACTTGCGTCACGGAACTGCAAAAATTGGCAAGTTATTGTTAAATAAATTACCTGTATTTATCGGGTTCTAAGATGCAGTGAAATCATTAGGGTTATCGTCATTTTATGAATCGGCTCAGGAGAAGACAGAAAAGGGAACTGTTTCGATCCGCATTGCATTACCAAATATTTATTATTCACAAACATCTTTCCGAAAATCAACTTCAGAATGTTTTCAAATTTTCTGTTGGACGTGTACACTGTTCCCATGTTGCCATTCCACAGACATTAGTAATTAGTCTAAATTTAATCAAAGAAATCAGACTGAAACTCCATTAAAAACGATCTCGATATATTCACAATAATCTATAAAAAGGTTTTTACAGCGTCTACGCCTAATATTAAAAACTTTTTCGCAGATGTTTTTTGAAAGTTTAAAGATTTTTATGATTTCATGGAAATGATGCGAAATTTTAAGAAATAATTTTGTTTTATTGGAATTACGGAATATGTTAGTTTCGAGATAATGAATAAGTTGTTTAATTAAAAAACATTTTAAGAAAAATTCTAAGAAAATATTTTCTGTCAAACTTGAAAATTCAAATGTTCATCTATTTTATAAATTAATTTTTCTTTAAATATCATATTTTTAATCAAATTTTATTAGTTGGTACTTTTTCTCTTTCCAAATACTCTAAAATATAAAAGCAAAATGCAGCAAATGAGCATTTTGTTTAAAAACCATTTATTGATCAAATAAATAAGAAAGGAAAAACAGTTTTATATATTAATGGTAAACTATTTATAAACAAACAACCGTGAAACGTTACCCCAATTTGTTATATAGCAATTAAAATTAAATGAAAGTAAATATGTTGCAATAATCGAGAGATAGGATCGAAACAAGATTGGTTATATTCAACTGAAATGCGATGTTCACGGCAGACAAATAGTACGCTGAATGATAGCGCCATGTTGAAAAAAGGTATCATTACATCGCCATCAGACTTGTATGAAGTTTAGCCGTTGTAATTGCCAACCACAAAATGGTGGCCAAGACTTCACTGAGCAAATCGGGCTGTAAATCATGCTAAGAGCGTTTGTCAGTTGTGGAGATATATTTCATAAAACTTGAGATATAACCTCCATGCTTAGCTTGACAGCTTTACGCGCGTTGCCGCATCCATTGTTACTGCACAATCAAAAGAGGCCTTAGATTTTGTTTATGTCAAGAACTGTAACAAAAATCTTTTCCTACTCCACTTTTGGCTTTTTTTTTCTTGCAAATTTCTTTTTGTTTGATTTGTTTGTTTAACGTTTAATTAGAAACACATATTGAAGGCAAATAGGGAGAAAGTTGAAGCGAGAAAGAGTGAGACGTGAGGATTTTGGGGACACTAGAAAGAAAGAGAGAGATTTAAAAAGAGAAATGAAAAAGAAAAGTGAGATAAAGATGTATGCAGGGAGAAACAAATAAAAAAGCAAGAAGAGTTGTGGGTAGAGAAAGAGAGAAAGAGAAAGAGAGAGAGAGAGAGAGAAACAGAGCGAGGGGGTATGCAGAGAAAAAGGAATTAAAAACAAAAAGAGTGGGTAAGGAGAGAAAAGCGAACCGTAAATCAGAGAGGCAGAAAATAAAGTCCGGCAAAGCAAGTGAGCAGTAAGCAAAACCAACATCGATTGACAGAAAAGAGATAAAAAAAGAGCGGTAAAAAGACGAAAGAAAAGGAAAAAGAGGAAAAGACGTATGGTGTATCGGAGGGCGGGAGATGGGAAGCGGAAGATGTGAGTTATGATTAAGAAGAGAAAATAAGCCGTAAAACAAGAAAAAGGTGTATTTTTATCAAAGTAACTTTTATTCAACTGACTTTCGGATAATGAAGTTAGCACCAGTCTGTCTTTTTTGACAGTTTCGAAAGAAATATCACATGCATTCTTTGTTTTATTAAAATGATAAACAGTTCCCCTAATTTTGGCCTTCCGTATTTTCTATTAGCGAGAACTTGCGCTCATCACACATAACCTACTTTTATTTTGGTATTTCTCGGTAAACTCACTTTTCGAAATAAATAATCACACGATATAAGAAAGTTTGAACTGCTTTCATTTCTTACTCTCAACTTGTTTATGAAACTATAAATTCAATTTAACTAAATTTCGAACTCGACCTAGGAAAGTTTTGTAATTCTTATTCGATAAGAATAAAAAAAAGCCAAACATTTTAAATAAATTTAAATAGCTACCTTAATAATGGCCGTCTGCTTGAAGATAGAAATGGCTTTAATTTTTCATACCACATATTTCAAGCTAATAAGCCGACATCTAGGTCATTGATTAATCTCTTTTAGTTGCTTTGTATTATATTCGAAGAAAAATCAAATTATAAAGCAAATAAATTCTATAGTTCAGAAGGTTTGTTTAATTAAATATTGAATAAAGATTTTCGAAAATGAAACGATAATTCCCTTCTTTTAAATTAATTATTTACTATTTTATTTTGATACAAAGTTAAACAGAGAGGGCACTCAGTGAGGATCAAAGTCACTAATTTTCAAACTATAGTGCAGCGACACCTTTATTGTTGGGTTACAGTATATCATATTCTTAAGCAGGCTTGGCGTTACTAAATTTTGGAGATCCAGTCACGTTGGATGAATTAAGCGTTATTTTAAAGTAGAGAAAATTTTAGGGTTTATGTCAGTTAGGAAATAAAAAAAAAGGTGCCATTTCTTCTCCCAGTGAAGATTAAACTCAACATAATGTCGCATGTTTTTATTCACTCTTCTATGACGACCTTCTCAATTTCTCCAGATGCGAATTAAAATTCGAAAATATCCCCAATCCATAAATGTGTCTAGATTTGCATCCTGTGCATTTATGTCGGCAAACATTTGATCATGACACTGAGTACAATAGTTAATTGCTCTAAAAGATGCCATCAAAATAGTCTTTATCAGAACATTGACGATGATGGCCCTTCACAATTTCCTGCTCATTGCATCTCTTAATAAATTCTGTCTTTTTGTTATTTCTCCTAAACACTCTTCCACCATCCATTTACTCAAGCTCACTAGGCAGGTTGTTTTTCTCAACCCCTCTTGCCTCCAATCTGTCCTGTGAGTGTCAAATTTTCCAAGCTCTCTTTCCTCATGATGTGCCCTGGAAATTTCATCTGTCAGTTTCTGATGTTAAGTATAAGTTTCCATTTATTTGCATTTTATCTAAAACTTCGTCGTTGTTCGTTGCATGGGTTCATTAGCATCCTTCTATAAAACCACATTTCTGTTGCGTCAAGTCTGTTCTTCATCTGTGAGAAGATTGGTCAGCATTCACTGTCATATAGAAGGATTGATATTATTTAACAGTTTAATACCCCCCTTTTTTTTTTGGTTCTAATGAAATTTTCCTGTTTCTTAATACATTGCTTAGATTTTGGAATGCATCGTTCGCTCTATCCCAATGCGACTTCGGATTTCCGTGTCGCACTTTCCTTTCTCCGTTAAAACACTTTCTAGATTTTTAATTTTTGTACTTGTCTGATTTTAGTATTTCCGCTGAAAAACATTAATGAAAAAAGGTATTTATCAAGATTTTGCTTGTCTTGAAAATGTTTCAGTAAATAGTTCTTAATTAGTTTTCTATTAATAATCGTAATATTGCAAAGGTCAAATCTATATATGTTTAGGAATAATACTAATATGAAATTTGTCAAGTATATATATATATATATATATATATATATATATATATATATATATATATATATATATATACATTTCATTAAATAATATAGACATATTATGTCTATTTACTTTGAAAAAAAGATTGAAAGTACTTGTTAGGAAAAAACAACTACGGCGCATTCATTGGTGAATTTCATCTTAACATCAAGAAACTGACTAGAGAACTGGAAACGATCAGTATAAAATTAAATAGACATAATATGTCTGTATTATTCAATGAAACATGTCTGAATGAAGATATGCTGATATATATATATATATATATATATATATATATATATATATATATATATATATATATATATATGTGTGTGTGTGTGTAGACAGCACATTAAACATTTCATAATTTATTTCTATTTCTTATTTTAAAGCCAAACGATTATCTTTGACATTGTCTGTTTTTCTTCCTACGCGCTTAGAAATTTACTCGTTTTCCTCTTCTCAAAAACGTTTAATGTCTTCGATTCGGTACAAATCTACTTGAGTTAGGCTTATTCGATATTGAGAGAAATAAATAAATAAATGTTCAAGTGGCCCCAAAACCCTTAACCGGTTTCCTTTTTACTTTTTTTTTTCAGCGTCATTTTCAAGCAAGCATTCCCCCGGGTTTAAAAAACAAAACAAAAAAAAAAAAAAAAAACTGATTTCGGGAGATAAAGGATACTTCAGGGTTAGAATGCACTGACGTCATCGACTTGTTCACTTTTATTTACACAATTGTATTTCCATATATTTCATACATTGATATGTGACAATGAAACAAACTTTGTCCAGACTTTGGATCCTCTTTCCATTAAATGAAAAGATAAATTAATTTATGGGCGTTCGAGTGGCGATGACTTCTTACGTTTTGCAGTGAAAACAAATATTAGTTCCATTTTTATTGGTCATCTCATAAAATCTCTCTCCCCCTCTCTCTCTCTCTCTCTCTCTCTATATATATATATATATATATATATGTGTGTGTGTGTGTGTGTGTGTGTGTGTGTGAGCATGTGTGTACATTTATACAAAATACAATTATCCCTTAACCCTTAACACATATAGATATGTATAATGTTTAATGTGTATTCTATTTTACATACTCAAACATATAAACGCGCACATCCACCGACGTAAATATACATATATATCCTTAGAGGCTCTTTTTGTAAAATGTTCTGAATTGACGCTTCAAAATGCAAATACCATTTTTCTAATACATAACTATTTTCGATTCGCGCCTGCCTTAGAGCTGGGGCAACAATGTCACCTCTCAGACTATTAACATCGAATTAAGTTCGATATCTATCAAGTGTTCCTCTATTGTAGCCTTGTGTATCACTTAATAAATATCCACATCTAGAACGATGACTTGCAAGCTAGTCTTTCGGACCACTTTAATTGCAGAAGGTCGTCTTGTTCTCATTGCTTTATTATTGGAAAGCCGTAAGAGACTGAGCTGACAAAAGATCTGTTGGATTGAAACCAATGTACGTATTGTTTTTGAGTGAATTTCAAAGACAATATATATTTGTACATAGATATATCCAATAGAATAAGTGTCATTATTTTCTAATTCCTTTCGCCATCTTTGAGGCAACTTCATGGTTCTATCCTCTAAGAATATTGCATATTACTGTGTGATAAACTGGTCTAAGTGTTTTTAACAAGCTTTCAGAGAATTGAAGCTATTATCATTAAGAGAATTTTGTAAGGTTCGGATAAGTGGTAATCCAGAGGTGCAAGGTTAGGTGGGTAGAGACGGTATATTAGGACATCTTGGCCAAGCTTTACTTACTGCCTGTTCAGCAACGTGACGTAAGAGATGTCCCGTCGGAAAAGGATTCACTTCCGATTGACTAACTCTGGACGCTTTTCACGATTGCTGCCTTTAATCGGTCCAATGGGAACAGTTCATATCTAAATTCAAAATCTGATTTTGCGGAAGGAGTCCCAAATACACAAGTACCCTTCAAATCCTACCAGATACACAGCATCACCATCTTTAAATGCTGATCGGATTTTGGAGCTTCCCCAGGAGCCTTTATCACCCCCACATTATTATAAACAATCCATTTTTTTTTTACCTGTGATTGCTCTTTTTAAAGATGTGTTGATTTTTTTTTTAATTTTCTACAGATAATCATCGATCAAAATTTTGTTTATTCATTTTTGAGTTAAATCGCGAGGCACCAAAACGTAGCGATTTAAATATTCAAATATTTTTAAAGATATGTGGAGCATCTTTGCAATGTCACAAGTCGGGTTATCGGGATTGTTTTTAATCGGCGTTTCGATATTGGTTATTTGTATTGATCTGCCATGACGGTCTCAATCTTTCAGATCAAAATGTCCACTTCTGCAAACCACCTATGGACAGTACTATCAGCACCATCTCTATAAACGGTACATACATTTTTTGCTGCTTGGACAGCTTTTTCTTCGGAAAGAAAAGTGCATCAAATGACGAAAATGCATCTAATTTTCTTCCATTTCCACTTTTAATGAAAAAAACATTTAAAATTTACAATCCCCAAACGAATTCGTATAGAAAAACGCTTTAAAGTGTCACCTTTCAGAATATATGTCATAAATTTAAGTCACGTCTTAAACAAAAAAAGCCACATTTTGAAAAACCCTATAAACTTCTGTTTCAACCCAATACTTTATAATATTATTTTTGTTTTGCTAATTTGTTATGCTAATTTTCGTCTGATTTAAGGGATTCTTACAGTTCCTGTGGGTGTTGAACTATGTTGAACTATGGTAGGCTTTTTCTGATACCAAGACAAGTGCAGGCATATAAGGATGGTATTTCATCATTGCTGAAGCCAAAACCATATTTGCATCTGACAAATATACCGATAAATTATCCAAAACAGTCGATATTCGTTTTCATCTGCTATTAGTATTTTTAGGTAAAAGAAATGTGGTTCTACTGAAGAATTCTATGGACTGAACATGTGAGCAACGACAACGTTTTAGGGAAAATGGAAACAAAAAGACACATATTTAAAATCACAAAGAGATAAATGAAAATTGTCGGGCACATAATTAGCAAAGAGGGTTTGGAGAAGTTGATACTCACAGGACATATTGAAGGCAAATGGGACAGAGGAAAGCAGTGAATAACCTACCTAACGAGAAATTGTAAATGGTTGGTACAACAAGGATGAGGAGAGATAGAAAATTACAAAATTACTAAGAGCT